CAAAGACATGGACTGGTCGAACAGAACACCGAGGTTTCTGAGGTTCGGCTGAGAAGAGGAGCCCAGAGAACCGAGGTGTTGCTTGATCCAAGGAACTTTCTGTTCAGGGGCAATGATCAGGGTTTCCGTCTTGTTAGAATTTAACTGAAGGCAGCTGTTAGCTAACCACGCCTTAATATGGGAAACACAGTTTACTAATTCAGCTAACTTGTGTAATTCTGAGTCATAAAAGGAACAGTACAGTTGAATATCATCAGCATAGAGATGGTAAGACACATTTCTGAAGCTACTGATAATCTTTCCCAGGGGGGTGATGTAGAGAAGGAACAGAATAGGACCCTACACTGAACCCTGAGGAACACCATTCAGTAACGGAGTGGTCTTAGACTGTATGTTATTAACAAACATTGAAAAGGTTCTGTTGCTCAGATAAGAGGAAAACCACTTAAGAACAGTTCCAGAAAATCCCATCTCATGTTGCAGTCGATGTATCATAATTTTGTGGTCGACTGTGTCAAAAGCTGATTACAGATCCAATAAAATCAAAACACTGCTCTGACCAGATTCTGCATTGGAGACTTTTAATAAGGCAGTTTCGGTGGAGTGCATCTTGCGGAAACCAGATTGAAACTTATTAAGAAGATTATTATTTTGCAAGAAAGTAGTCATCTGCCCAGCCACTAACTTCTCCAGAATTTTGGCGAGAAAAGGCAGTTTTGATATTGGCCTGTAGTTGCAGAGCTCAGTGGGGTCCAAGTTGGGCTTTTTCAAGATCGGATTTAAAATCGTTTGTTTCAAAAAACTTGGAACTGACCCGGTTGAAAGAGAGATGTTAATTAATTCTGCCACATGGGGGCTGACAATACCAGACACCTTTAAAAACGGTGATGTGGGTACAACATCTAGCACGCAGGAAGAAGGTTTGATCTTTTTTAGAACAACCTTCACATCCTCTAAAGTGACAGGTGAAAATGAAGACCAGGGGCTCACTGTAGGGACAGAACTGGGGGTGACACCAAGAGCTGATTTAACACTTGCCCTGATGTTGTCAACCTTTTCCACAAAATAGTTTAAAAATCTATTGCAGTCATCTAATGTGAATACAGGCAACAGAGGGAGTGAAGGTGGAACCATATTATTAATGGTATCAAACAAGACTTTAGGATTTTTCTTGTCCATACTCACAAGATTAGAAAAATATGCAGACCTGGCCTGTTTAATCATTTCATTTAGAGTTTAGATCAACTTCTTTAAGTGTAGTCTGTGGACTTCAAGTTTTGTAGATTTACACAAACGCTCTACCTTACGACATGCTCTTCTGAACAACATAATTTCCTCATTTCTCCAAGGACAAGAGTTTTTACGAGAGGATATTATGTGCTTTACAGGAGTAACCTCATCTAAGACAGACAGACAGTGACTATTAAAAGACTCAACAAAGGAATCAGCATTACTGCAACTAGCAAAACAACTGGGCTCAAAAGATTCTGAGAATTTCTCAACAGGGAGAACCAGAGGAAGATCCAGGACACTCTGGAGGGACTATATGTTTCTCGGCTGGCCTGGGAACGCCCTGGGATTCCCCTGGAGGAGCTGGACCAAGTGGCTGGGGAGAGGGAAGTCTGGGCCTCCCTACTTAGGCTGCTACCCCGACCCGACCCCGGATAAGCGGAAGAAAATGGATGGATGGAGAAACTGAAACAATCTGCTGATCTTCATAGATGAGTTTCTAAGTTATTCAAATGTTTTTAAATGCAGAATGTAGTTGTAAAATAGTCCCACACTAAAATTATATACAATTTCCACAGTAAAAGTATTTTCAGTCCCTCGCTGACGTTACCATAATATTGATGCTTTGTTGTATATTTTAGGTTTACTTTCTGCTTACACGCGGTTGACTCCGCTCACCTGTCCGGGATACCATCCTTCTTCTTGTATTTTGACATTTTCACAACTCTTCTGTATCTGTGAGACTGAACAAGCTACAACTACAGCTAGAAAACTATTTAAAACCATGAAGGATTTTCATGGAATCAGACACGCGGACTCGGAGTCAAATTATATACGTAGCTCCTCCACAAACTCGGCTTTCACCGACAGAAAAATACTAAAAAATACACTGAACTGTTTAACACGTTAAAAAAAACATTTTGAGCTATTTCTGTACCACAACTTGTATTTAGTTTACAACTTTTCGTGAAGCTGTCTACGTCCGACAGAAGCTATCCGGAGACGCATGTTGATGACGTCAAATACGCGACCCCCTTTTTTATTTTTATTTTACGCGACTCCATAGATATCATATAATGACTAGATACAGCATTGACCGCTATCGTCTATTGGCGCTGACGAGCTGTAGGGCCGCCATCTTGAAACGGTCGACCGCTCCACTCGGTGTAACCTGTTTCTCAGGAGCAATGAAGTATCTGCGCGTTTAATCAGTCAGAGCTAAATACTAAACTCATTCTCACGATTTGTTCCTCTGTAAATCTTAGGAGTACAGCCATTAAAGCTGAACACATGGTTCAGTGTATTTAAATATTCTTGGTGGGGTTAACATTAACACTAATAAAATATTCTTGTGACACGTTTGCAAAACTCACAGTCACTGATACATTTTTATTAAGATATATATATATATATATATATATATATGTATATATGTCTAAATCAGTCATATATACAGTTTAATAATTTTCTAATATATATATATATCACAATCTTATATATACATTATATCTATTTTATATATACACATCTCATGTATATATAT